CGTGGGTTCAATTCCCAGCATCCACATGGCAGCTCGGACCTGTGTGTAACTACAGTTCCAGAGGACCTTGACACCCTTACACAGGCAAAACAACACACAATTGTGGATGGGAGGTTTCTGTCCTGTCCGATCCCACAGCCATTTAGTCCCAGATAAACACACAGAGGCTTATATTAATTATCAACTGTTTGGCCAATGGCTAAGGCTTCTTATTGGCTAGCTTTCTCTTAATTATTAACTCATTTCTATTAAACTATGTATTGCCCCGAGGCTGTGGCTTAATCATAGTGATCTGGCATGTTACTCCTTTAGTGGCTACATGGTGGCTCTCTCATGACTCTGTTTCTCTTCCCAGAATTCACTGGCAGCACGTCTATACTTCCTGCCTGGCTACATCCGAAACAGCTTTATTCATCAACCAATAAGACTAACATTCACAGCATACAGAAGGGCATCCCCCATTACACAATAAATTAAACTAATTAAATAATTAAAATAATAGATTAACTAATTAAAAAGAAACTTAAAACAGGGGCTGTAGATGTAGCTCAGTCATGGAGTGCTTGCCCAGCATGCAGAAGGCCATGGACTCCATCCCCAGCACAAATAAACCAGGATAAACCAGGCCAGTAATCACAGCACTAGGGAGGTAAAGGCAAGAGGATCAGAAGTTCCAAGTTAGCCTTAGCTACATATTAGCTCCAAGGCTCTACTGAACTACATGAACGAGACTCTGTCTCTAAAAATAAACAAAACACAGTAAGGAATCTTTCAGCTAATAGCAACTATTAACCAATAAATATTCTTCAATAATTATAAACTTAGATAAAATAGTGAAATAAGTCAAAGGTCTGCATCAACCATTAGAGCCTAAAAATGATCGATTTTGCAACTGTGTTGCAGTGCTTAAAAAACGTCTTCAGTCAGCTGCGTGGTGGTGTTGCACACCTTTAATCCCAGCATTCAGGAAGCAGAGGCAAGTGAACCTTTGTAAATTTGAAGCCAGCCTGGTCTCAAATATATTATATAGGGTCCTTAGGGGTTAAAAAAAAAGTTTGGAGTCTAGAGATGTAGCTCAGTGCTTGCCTAAGATGCATGAAGCCCTGGGTTTCTCCCAGCACCACATAAAATCAGGCACAGTGATTCCTACTTATAATCCCAGCACTCAGGTGGGAGCAGAAAGCTCAGGTGTTCCAGGTCTTCCTCAGCTACAGTGTAAGCTTGAGGCAAGCCTAGGCTATGTGAGAAAAGAGCTTTAGGGACAGAGCAGGCAAGACAGGCAACATGCTTTAACTTTTCCAAACAATATCTGCTGCAAAAGTCTTCCTGTTCAATAACAAGAATTGGTAAAGAGGTAAAAATGATTGGCACTTAGAGGTAGGAAAGCTGACAGCGAAAGCACTTCAAGAGTCTGGCAGCTGTCTAAGATGTAAAAATACGGAGTTACCACACAACCCAAAGCATGTCCTGCACACAAATGTGTGTGCTGGCAGCATACATACAAGTCCAAAAGTCTACTGAAGCTGTGTAATGCTGGCCCAACATTTATATTCCCTCTATCCACACAGATGCTTCTGTAGCAATTTGCAATAGAAACTAACACATCCCCCCAAATTCCCACTTACGACTGCTAAAGAAATCATGATTCAGCCATACAATGTGATATATATCGCACGGGGCATTTTAAAAAAGAGAACATCCTGATGGCTCAGCTGGACAGAGAGCCTGCAGTCAAGACTGATGCTGACCTTAGTTCAATTTCGGAAAGCCACATTGTGGAAGAAGTGAACCAGCTCTCACAAGCTGCCCTGACTTGTGCACAGGGCCTGTTAAGAATGGAATCAATCAATAACCCCTCCCTCCCTTTCCCCCAACACAAATTAGTACATCGGCATGTCCCTTTAATCCCAGCACTAGGGAAGTAGATGCAGGAATATTTCTGTGAGTTCAAGACTGCCCTTATCTACACAGAGAGTCCCAGACTAGCCTGCTGTAGAGTGAGACACCATGTCTCGAATAGAAGGTGGTGGTGGTGGTGGTGTACACCTTTAGTCCCAGCACTTGCGAGGCAGAGATGGGTGGATCTCTGTCAGTTCAAGGCCAACCTAGTCTACAGAGTTATAGGAGAGGCTTCAAAGCCACAAAGAAACAATCACCACAAAACAATGACTCAGGGAAACAATTTGGAAACGACCATCTGCCATTTGCTAAACACAATCTTGTATCTCCCTCCGTCCATCACCACCTAACACAAAATAAAATTAAAAGCAACCTGAAGTTCCTTTTTTTTTTTTTTTTTTGAAACAGAGTTTCTCTATGTAGCCCTGGTTGTCCTAGAGCTCACTCTGTAGACCAGGCTGGCATGGAACTAAAGATATCCACCTGCCTCTGCCTCCCAAGTGCTGGGATCAAAGGTGTGTGCAACCACCACCTGGCCTGAACTCTGCAACTTTGTCAGCAAAGCATAGTAGCTGATGCCTATTATCTCAGCACTGAGGAGGCAAAGAGAGTAGGATCTCAAGTTTAAGGCTGGGTGGATTCCTTACTGAGTTCCAGGCTAGCCTGAGACCCTATTTTTTTTTTTTTTGCAATGGGGGGATGGGGGTTGAAAAGCTGGCTCTACAAGCTCAATTCCTGGCATCCAGCCACCTGTGCCTCCAGCTCCCTCTTCAGGCACTGCACCCCTATGGTGCACATATATTGCAATTAATTACTTCAATTGTCTTGTAAAAAAAAAACCCACAGAAATAGACAGTTTTATTGTCTTTTTTTTTTTCTTTCAGGAAGCTGAGGCTATCACTGAAGGGCTGTAAGCCTTGTTCCCCTGAAGCTAGTTAGCATCTTACACTGAGGCTGAACCAACCATTCCATTATCAGGGCTTGCAACTGGACAGTATTTTGATTTTGTGCATAAAAATCACCAGCTCTCTCAGTATTGTTGACATTTCCTTTTCTTTTTTTTTTTTTAGATTTGTTTACCTTCTGTATATGAGTGCTCTATTTGCATGTCAGAAGAGGTCGTCAGATCCCACTATAGATGGTTGTGAGCCACCATGCTGGGAGTAGAACTCAGGACCTCTGGAAGAGCAGTCAGTGCTCTTAACCACTGAGCCATCTCTCCAGCCCCTTGTTGACATTTTCTAAGGTTAATTCTTTGATGGCTTCCTCAGGAAGGCTTGCCAACTTACACTTACACATTTCCTCCAATGACTGATGTCAAAATTCTTATGGTGGGTTGTAGCTCAGTGTTGGAGAGCTGGCCTAGCATGCACAAGGGCCTAAATGCCAGCTCCTTATGAAAGCAACCACTTAAGTCTTTTTCACTTTTTTCTTTTCCTTTTTTTTTTTGTTGTTTTTGTTTTGTTTGTGTTTTGTTTTGAGACAGGATCTCTCTCTCTCTCTCTGCATAGACCTGGCTGTCTTGGAACTCACTAAATAGATGAGGCTGACCTTAAACTCACTAAGAGCCACCTGACTCTACCTATAGAGTGCTTCTCAGATTAAAGGAATGTGCCACCACACCCAGTCTTACAGCTTTTACTACAAACCACCTAAATATTAACAAAACATTTAAATCTACAAGTGTACTTAAATCCATAAACCTTTTTTTTTTGTATACTCCCATCCTTTAAAGCCACACATCCTTTGGCCCAGGTAGTAATTTAATATCAAATGAGGTTTTGAACACAATTGGAGACTAGCATTCTGGTATGAAGTACTACTGTGCAGAGCGATGCAAAAATCAGTTCTGTGCCATCCTGCAAGGGTTTGCAAATAGATACATATCTGTGTCGATCTAGGATATTTCTGGAAAGATTCACGAGAAATTGGCAACATCAGTTACATTTAGAGGACACTCCTGCGTCTTTGCCACCAACTTTTCTCAATATATTCTCATGCCTCTACAACTGAGAACTATACCAGAGCCTAACTTGTCCCCATACTAAATAGCCCTAACCAAAAATCATTTTAAAGAGATGTAAGAAAGAGTAGAAAGAATGTGCAGATCCCATCAGCACGAAGTCTCTTTGGAAGGAACCCAGGCAAGCGGGCATCTCCTCCAGCAGGGCTACCCTTAAACCTAGGACGAAGCCAGTCAGGGGATGTACTTAAAGCAACTCCTTCCTTTTCCTTCCCCTTCCTCTCGGCTTCCTTTAAAATCGGTCTTATTTCCCAACAGCCCATCAATCTAGAATATACTTTCTACTAAATTCCTATGTTTGCCTAAACACTTGCTAAATCAATAAATGTTGTCACCAATCGAGGCCACCTAGGAAAGTCCAAATCCAAGGCCGGGAAACCGTTTCTTAAAACCTCACGCGGAGGTGGACACCATCCGCCCCAGAAAACGCGGCACACTACTCCCTCAACCGCGCAGACAGCTATGCAGCTGACAATGCGTTTCCAGGTACAGGCAGCACACTGAAGGCAAGCTCCGGCTTCGACACCAATCCCGACAAACCCAGCAGCTGCCAGATTAATTTATTTGGTCTTCAAGAACTGAGGCACTAAGGAAAAACCACCTCGAAAGCTGCTTCTCTACCTGCTCGGGCAGGCGGGGATTTCTCAAAGAAGTGACACCTCTGGGCTCTTAGAATGCGAGGCGGTTCAAACGCCATCACCGTGACACCTTTCTGGAGGGAGGGCAAGGAGGCCTGAGTAGGGCGCGATGGCGTGGGGAAGAGGGGGGCAAGGGCCAGGGCCTCGGGAGGGATCCCACGCGTAGCTGAGGCGCAGCGGGGCTTGGGCCCTCGGGCCAGCAAAGATCGGCGCCCTCGGAGCTCAGCAGAGGCTCGGACTCGCGTGAGGACAACCGCGCCAGCTCTCCCGGAATGAGGTGGGTTCGAGGGCAGAGCCCTCCCCCGCCTCCCGGGGCCCGGTGCATTCACAGAGGTGACCCCGCGGCCCATCCCGGGTAAAGTTGCAGCCGCAGGCGCGCGGGCGGCGAGAGGCGCGAGGAGCCAGCCGCCGAGCCTCGTGGGGGTGTGGCGGGGGCTCACCCGTGATGTCCAGGTACAGGTCGTCCTGCTGCTCCAGGCGGTGCAGCTCCTGCGGCGTGGAGCTGCGGCTCTTCTTCACGCCGGGGGAGGTGGACGAGCTGCGGCGCGAGCAGGGGGGCGCGGTAGTCCAAGACGAGCGCCGCTCGCTCTTGCGCTTCATGGAGGCGGCCGCGGCCCGTCAGGGGACCGCGACCATGGCCCGGCAGCCCGGCCCGGGTCCTCGAGCTGCGCCTCCCACCGCCCGCGTCCCGGGGGCCACACAGCGCTAGCCGGAGGCTGGGGCAAAGCGCGCGCGCCCTGGGACGCTGGTGCCTGGGCGTCCGAGCTCAGTGGGCCGCGGCTCCCGGGGACCCCCAGGAGGGATGTTCCGTGGAGCTTCATTCACAAAAAGAAGGGCCCACAACCCTCCTCGGGGCCCGCCGGCTCGGGCCGTTCATTGGTCAGCGCGGCGTGACGTCACGCAGCCGGGGCCTTCCTACAGGCAGGTACTCGGTGACGCCATAAAGAAAAGTCTGAGCGCTTCCGCCAATCGGGCAGAAAGCGTGCTGGCGACCCCTGGGCGGGACCCTCCTAACTTTTGTGTCCCGCGTCCAGGTGCGACGCCCCCGGCCCCCAGGTCCCCGAGTGAGTCCCCAAGTTCCTGCACAGTCCTACCCCAGGAACTCCACTCCGGGTCTTTGGGATGGAATGTTCTTTTCTAAGTGTTTCTCGGGGTTCCTTGTAATTCGCGCCAAGAGAGCCTGGTCATGGCCGCCTGCTGGGAGAGTATGTAGCCTGCTGAAATGGTCCGCAGCTCTGAGGACGCAAGCCAGAGTGGACTTCAGAACTTAGTTCAGGCCAGCGCTGTTTTTTCTCCACCCATCGGAACAGAGCAACGAGGGCTTCTTAAGAGTCGGTTAAAAAAAAAGAAAAGAAAAGAAAGAAAGAGCCACCTGGAGACGCTATTTACCGTGGTGGTTTGCTCCTTCCGGACCTCACCCCGGGACCCTGGAGCTGCGCTAACTCTTGCCAGGCATAACCCGGGTGCACACGGTCCGATTTAACACCAAGCGTAGGAGCACGTGGCCAGCTTAGCCCTCGGACTTTCCTCTTTCAGTTCTGCGGGGATATAGCCCCATCGTTAGCTACTGTGTTTAAAAAAAAAAGTCAGACCTTTTTGGAACTTGACCACAGCTGCCATTTTGAAGGGCCTAGCTCCATCGTAGCATCTAAATAGGCGAGGAGACTGGAAACAACCTTTAGAGTCGAGGGTCCCAAATTCTCCATCTGCAGGACAATTCCTGTTGTCAACAGCGATTTAACTTCTTGTCTGCAAAGGGAAGCCAGAGTCAGAGAGCGATGAATAATTTCAGCCCCTCCCCCCTCCCACAAGGAACCTCTCAGAAATGCAGATTTCACGGAGTTCCTCCCCGATGGGTAGCGTTGACTTTTGTTTTAAAACATTCCATCTTAAGCCTGCAAGGAAGGTAGGAAAAGAAAGAGTGTAGGACAGCACCTAACAGATTCTTCTCGGGGGTGGGGGGTGTCTAGTGTGTTCTGCTTTTTGAGGTTCTGGGACTTAACACCCAGGGTCTTGCCACGTGAAGGACAAATGATCTATTAGTTAGCCAGATTCCTGGCCCACGGTATTTTTCTGAGACTGGCTTAGTTAGATGTCTAAAAGCCAAGTAGTTTCCAGTTGATTTTTTTTTCTCTCACCTTTAAATAGAATGTTTGGGCTGGATTCTAGCTGCTAGAAATTGTAACAAAAAAAGTATGTGGTTTAAATAAAGGGGGTAAAGCTTATGTATATATAATTATACCATGTAAGGATTTTCATGTTTTGTCTAAAACAAGGCTTTTGATTACAATTTCTCTAATTATTCAGACGTGTCTTTCATTCTTACAAACTAGAAGTCCATGTGCTAAACTTGGACTACAGGCCTATAATGTAGGAACTTAGAAAATGGAGGCTGGAGGATAAGGGGTTCAAGGTCATCCTCTGTTACATAAGGGGTTGGAAGCCAGCCAAGACCACAACCACAACCCATCTCCAAATAAAAAGATCCAAGGCCGGTCAAAAGGTACTTGCCGGCAAGTGTGGCAACCTGAGTTCAATCCCTGGGAACCCATTTACTAGAAGAGAACCAGCCCCAAAAGCTGTCTTCTGACACATACCCTCTCTACACACATACTGAAGAAATAATTAATGTAACCTCAAACTCTCTTTATATTTTGCTTTCCTGTCATGTTTAGATAGTGGCAGGAAATACCTCAGCTGATCTTTGTTGTACATGTGTGTGACATTTCCTTTGAATTGTGTGATTTCTCCAGTCAATATGCTGACTTCTAGGTTCTTAGAATTTGGCTACAGAAAAGTGCCTGACTTTGCTTGCAAGTTCATTGTTGGATCACGGGTCATAGGATTGTAGAGTTTGAAAGCCCCTTAGACAATATTGGGTCCGAGGGCTGTCTTTTGACAGTGAGGATGGGGGAACACAGAGGTCAGTCAAGATAGAAAGACAGAGAACATTATGGGGACTTGGGAAGGAGAAGAAACCCCCTTACTCGGGAGTATGACTGAAGAACTCTCAGCACCTGACAATCAAGAAAAGCAGGCTGTGAGTAGAGAGATGGCTGAGCAGTTAAGAGAGAACAGGAATCTTGTAGAGTACCTGGATTTGGTTTCCAGCACCCAGGTCAGGCTGCCTGTAACTTCAGCTCCAGAGGATCTGCTACCTAGGCACTTCAGCTCATGTACACCTACCTGCTGTGCAGCCACCACAAACCTTTTTGTTTTTTAAACAAAAGAGTTCCAGACTGACCAGGTAGTGGTGGAGCAGGCCTTTGATCCCAGCACTCGGGAGGCAGAGGCAGGTGAATCTCTGTTGAGTTTAAGGCCAGTCTGCTCTACAGAGCCAGTTCCAGGACAGCCAGGGCTGATATACTGAGAAACCTTGCCCACCCTCCAAAAAAAAAAAAAAAAAAAAAAAAAAGAGTCCCAGACTGGGAGATGGCTCAGTGGGTAAAGCAACTGCTGTGTAACAATGAGGATCTGAGTTTGGATCCCTAGCACCAATATAAATAAACAACCCGTGGATAAGTATCTATAATCCCAGCATTGAGGAGACTAATACAGGAGTATATTTGTGGCTCAATGGCCAGTCTATCTGAATCATGGGCCTCTCGAGTCCACATGTATACATGTGTTTGTGTACCTGCATGAACAAAGAATTCCAGCACAAGGTTTGTTGTAAAGGTTCAAATTGGAGAATGGTTTTCATTGTTTTGGGTTACTCTGTAGTTTTGGAACCTGTCCTGGAACTCAGTATTTAGACTAGGCTGGCCTCACAGAGCTCCACCTGTCTCTGCCTCCCAAGTGCTGGGATTAAAGGCACGTGCCACCACTGCCCAGCTGTATTTCTTTTATATAGAAACACTGTCAGGTACTGGCAATGTTTTATATCTTTTAAAAATAAAGTGATCCCCAGGCTGGGCAGGGTGGCAAATGACTGCTCTTCCAGAGGACCCAGGTTAAACTGCACCCATATTGCAGCTCACTACTGTCTATAACTCCAGTTCCAGGGGCTCTCACACCCTTTGCATACATACAAAATACCAGTGCACATAAAATATTTTTGTTTTGTTGTGTAACAGCTCTAAAACATAAAACAAAAAAAAACATCTTTAACTACTTGCACACACCACACATTCTGTACTTGTGTTAATGCAGATATGTATGTTACCTTTGAAAGTGTATGTTTTCAGAACAAAGGAACCAGACACCAAGGAAAACAGAGGGGCCAGGTGATACAACATCTCAGAGAACCTCTGCTGCAGCTTCCTTAGAGTTCCGTATCCAGAAAAGCTTCAAAGATGCTGAGATAGTCTAGCCTCACAGATTATCCCAGCCAGGACTTCAGATAAGCCTTGCACTTTCCCATTGCCCAGAGACTGGACAACAAATAATATACAGCTAACTCTCTTCTAGAACTAGACCATTATCTCAGTTTTCCTAGGATTTCCTAAAGATGTCAGTGCCCCCAGACAACAACTACATTCCCAAGAGGTGGAGTGGATGGTTTTTGGGTTATAGATGTTTGTCATAATTTAGGGGAGTTGGTTACAAGTTATTAGTCATGGTCAGGATAAAAAGCTAAACAAAGGAGTTCGATTCAAGTATCTCTGGAGAGAAAAAAAGGATATAATATAAAATGATGATATAAAAGGGTGAATTGTTGAGTCTACTTTTAAACAACTAGTTTCAAATATTTTACATTGGTAAGGATTTTTGCTTACTGATACAAATTTAAGGTTATTTTTTTCTTATACTGCGTAGGCAGAGGTTTCCTGTCCCAGGAGGGCTTCCAGTTATAGTTGTAGTTTTTTCTTAGTTATGATAGAAGGTAAATTAGAGTTAAAAGCTTCCTTTTTATTTAGACAAAAAGGGGGGAAATGTTGGATAATTATCTTTTTGTATACTGTGAATGTGTCATTTGAATTGGCTTAATAAAAAGCTGAACTGCCAGTAACTTGGTAGGATTTTGGAGGCAGAGAGGCTTCTGGGAAGAAGGGTGGAGATGCAGAGCTAACAGCATAAGTACTATGGAGATGAGGTAACAAAGCCATGAGGCAGAAAGTAAATTAATATAAATGGGTTAATTTAAGTTATAAGAGCTAGTTAGAAACAAGTCTAAAGGCTGGGTGGTACACACCTTAATCCCAGCACTTGGGAGGTAGAAGCAGGCAGATCTCTGTAAATTCAAGGTCAGCCTAGTCTACAGAGGGAGTTCCAGAATATGCTCCAAAGCTACACAGAGAAACCCTGTCTCAGAAACAAACAGACAAAAAAAGAAAGAAAGAGAGAGAGAGAGAGAGAGAGAGAGAGAGAGAGAGAGAGAGAGAGAGAGAGAGAGAAAGAAAGAAAGAAAGAAAGAAAGAAAGAAAGAAAGAAAGAAAGAAAGAAAGAAACAAGCCTAAACGGTCAGCTGAACTTTCATAATAAGTTTCTGTGTGGTTATTTGGAAGTTGGCTGGTGGGACAAAGACTGGCTACATCAACCTCCCAAGTGCTGGGATTAAAGGCATACACCACCACCACCGTGTCTGGCTCAAAGTAATTTTTTAAAAAAATATGTAATTATCACATGATTAAAAACAAAGATTGCACAAAGATTTTGAGTGGACTCCACAAAGTCTCATGTGTTAAAGGTTTGGTCCCTCTAAGAACTTTGGGAGGTAGGTCCTAATGAGAGGTTTTCTGTCAGTGGAGTCATGACATCATAGGGAACCGTGAGATGTGGGATTCTTTGTTCTTTCAGTTCTTGGCTATGAAGTAAGCAGCTTTATTCTACATGTTATTTTTTGCCATGATCTGTTATCTCACCAATGACCCCAAAGCAGTGGGCCAACCAAGCTTAAGCCTTTGAAACTGTAAGTCAAAATAACATTTCTTCTGTTTAAGTTGGTTATCTCAGGTATTTTCTTATAGAAATGGAAAGCTAACACTGTAGGTATTGGTTTAGTGAGTTATAAATTATATATGGTAGGTAACATCTGCCCAAAACAATTTATAGAACCAGTAAGGTTTTTTTATACGTTTGTTTTGTTTTTTGAGACACTATGTAGCTCTGACTATCCTGAAACTCACTATGTACACCAGGGTGGCCTAGAGCTCTGTCTGCCTCTGTCTGCTGAGTGCTGGTATTAAAAAGCATATGACACCATACCTGGCTCCCAATGAGTCTTTTTAAAATACCACTGTAGTTTAAATGTGATTTGAACTTATCTCCCAAAGATTCATGTGTGTTGGGGGGTATTGATGAGATGAAATCTTTAAGAGAATGAATTAGTAAAAAGTCAGTAGGTGCTATGCCCCAAGTGCTGGGATTAAAGGTATTTGCCACCACACTTGGCTTGGTGCTATACTAGTGACCTTCCAACACTGTGAGCTAAACAAACCTCTTTTTTAAAAGTACCTAGCCTTTGGTATTCTGTTACAGCAACAGACCATGAATAACCCTTCACACAGACATGAGCATGATTCCCTAGGCCAGATCTTTATCCAGACCATGTCTTATAGACATTCCCCTGCCTCCAACTCCCTCTCTTTGCTTTGCCTTCTGCTCTCTATGTCAGATATATCTTCTGGCGCAGTATTTTGGCTTCTGAAATTTGTTTCTGGCTCTTCTCATCCTGACCGAGTTGGACCAGCTCTTCTGGCTGAATCCAGGTACTCTTAGACACCCAGGGCTTGGACGGTCTCTCCTGGATTCTTCAGAAGTGGCTGCAGATCCAAGTTGACTCTGCCTGTGGCCCAGCTGCCAGACCAGGCCTCCTCCCTCCCAGGGCAGGACACAGCAAACTTCACAGTCAAAATTGGCCAAGATAATCAGGTAATTGGAGATAGCTAACCACCTCCTTTACCCACACTACACACATGTTTCCTGCCAACTATTACAAAACAAGAAAAACATTCTTGTCCAATTTTCCCCAAATGGACACGGAAGTAATTGAAAAGCATCAATTTCAAGTCCCTTCCAAGGCTATTGAAATGTAAAAGCAATTTATTCTTCATCTCTTGTTGAGGCTAGGAAGACTATTCTCAAAGATTTTCTGGTTTGAGAGGAGAACTAACTATCAATTTGAACATAGTGATTTCCTGTGTCTGTTTTATTCAAGCCCCTTCGTGGGGAGGAAATCCTAGTCCACCCTTGGGTCTCTTCATTTTCCCACAAAGGCCAGAAGAGGGCCTCAGATCCCCCTGGAACCTGAGTTTCAGGAGTAATCCACCATATGTGTTTTGGAAAATGACCTCTGGTCCTTTGCAGAAGCAGTACCACTTAAAACTGCCGAGCCACGCTGTTTACCTCTGCCTCCTGAGTGCTGGGATTTTAATGGATGCTGTGTGATTTAATTGAAAGCCTGGGGCTCTCCATCCACAAGCTCAGTTTTCAATGTAGGGAAGTGACACATTTTTTTTCCTCTCCTCCAAAAGTGTCAGATGCTTATGGTGTTTAAATGTGGTGGCATGTCTCCATACCTGGAAGTCTCTGGGGCTAAATTTTAATCTCCTAGAATCCTAACAAATATGGATCATTTGTGTGGGCAGACATAGCTGAGGTTCTGGGGAGCAAAGTGACGGTTGCAAGCATGCTAGGCAAGAGCTCAACCACAGAACTACACCCCCACCTTCTTTGTCAGTGTGAGGCATGGTCTCATTAAGCTGCCCCCAGACTGGTCTCCAACTGCTATTCTCCTGTCTTGACATTCTGTACTGTATAGGCGAGAGTGCAGGACTATGAAGTAAAGAGCTATTCCCTATTTGCACAAAGTCAGTAAACGTGTTCACGTATGGCATTTTAAGTTCTTAATGGCTGAAGTCTAGAAATGTCAGTGATTCATCGATTCCAGACTGCTAGTTCAATAAAACGAAGTAACAGCAAGTTGTAACAATAGCTAGAGAACCTTTTAAAACATTCTGACTACCTTCCTGTATTTTTAAGTCATCCTACAAAGATTTAATATTTAATATTTAAAATGCTTTTCTGGAAACACGTTTGACATCCATAAGTGCTTTGATCAAATATCTCACTGTGGTGAACAAGGCTGATTTGTAGCTTCTGGGAGCTGCTATGAAGAACTCTTTAGCAGAAAACTGTGGACTGCTTCAACTGACTGCAGTCCCAAGACTTCCAGTTTCTGTGCAACAGTACAAACCATGCAAAGGGACACATGTCATGCATTTATTGTCCCCTTTTGTGCTTTCTTTTGGAATTGGGGTCTTATGTAGCCTAGCCTGGTATCATACTCACTATATGGCTGAGGATGACCTTGAACTTATGATCCTTCTGCCTCCACCTCCCAAGGGCTTCAACTACAGGGATGTGCCACCATGCCTGGGCTTATGCAGCACTGGGGATCTGAGCTTCCTGTATGTTAGCCACGCTACCAACTGGGCTGTGTTCCCTAGCCCTCTTTTTTTAAATTACATTTGTTTGTTTTGTGTGTGTGTGTATATATCTGTGTGTAGTCGGGGTGTGTGTATGTGTGTGTTGTGAGGCTGTCAGAGAACAATTTGCATTACCCAGTTTTCTCATTCCATTAAATGGGTCCCAGGTATGGAACTCGGTTCATCAGGATTTAATACTAGCACTTGGGAAGCAGAGGTAAAATTTAAGCCACTCTAATCCACAGAGTGAGTGCCAGGCCAGAGAGGGCTACATAGTGAGATCCTGTCTCACAAAACAAAAGAGCAAAAAGCTACACATATGGGACTAGAGAGTTGGCTCAGAGGTTAAGAGCATAGACTGCTCTTCCAGAGGTTCTGAGTTCAAGTCCCAGCAGCCACAGGGTGGCTCACAGCCATCTATAGAGATATGGTGCCCTCTTCTGGCATGCAGGCATACATGCAGGCAGAACACTGTGTACATAATAAAAAAATCTTTTTTTTTTTTTTTGGTTTTTTTTCGAGACAGGGTTTCTCTGTGGCTTTGGAGGCTGACATAATAAAAAATCTTTAAAATATTTTTTAAAGCACACTTAAATATACATATTTTCAATTATTTATATTATATACACATATATTTAAATGTGTGTGTGTATATAAAGAATATTTTTTCTGCAACTGTTTTGCTTTCTGGGATCATGTTGTGTGGTGGAATGAATGAGGATGGCTCCCATAGGCTCATATATTTAAATACTTAGTCCTCAGATGGTGGAACTGTTTAGGAAGGAGTAGGGATGTGATCTTGTTGGAAGAGGTATATCACAGGGGAGGGCTTTGAGGTTTCAAAAAGTCCACGTTGTGAATCCCATGAAATGCTTTCCTCTATAAGTTCCCTTGGTCATGAAGTCTCTCCACACCAATAAAAAAAGTTACTAAGACACTCTCAGATGTTGGGGAAGTCCTGTGCATTTGTCAATAAAGCACTGTCTGGCCAATAGGGAATCTAGATAGGTGGGACTAGGAGTCCAGGAGGACTCTGGGAAGGAGAAACACAAGAGATTCAAGATGTAACGCCATGGGGTAGGAAGTCTGGAAACTTCTCCGGTAAGAGACATACTTAGATTAACAATTATGGGTTAATTACTTAAGTCAGAGCTAGCCAGTAAGAAACAAGCAAGGCCAACAGCTTCATAATTAATATAGCCTCCTGGGTGTTTATTTGGGACTCATGTGGCTCTAGAACCAGGCTGGCGGAAAGGCTTCTCTCAAGGAAAAAGCTTCTCTTTACACTCAGATATACACACTGTGGTTCGTTTTTATCCACAGGTGTACGTGATAAACACAACGTCCTCAACCATTTTCCTGGTGCTGGACATCTGGGGCATCTCTAGTTCATAGCAGTGACAGGTGTGGCAGTTGGCAACCTCCAGCCTCTGGCTTTTGTGTGAGGCAGACTCTGAAGATGTATACAGTGATTATTGGGACTTTATTTTTATTTAAATTCATGTGTGTCTATGTTGAGCTGCCCTACATGGGGTTTGGGAACTATATTGAAGATCAGAGAGAGGTTTTGTTTGTTTTTGGTTTTTTGAGACAGGGTTTCTTGGCCATCCTGGAACTCACTCTGTAGACCAGACTGGCCTCTCTGTCTTCCGAGTGCTGGGATTAAAGATTGTGTACCACCACTGCCCAGCTCAGTGTGTACTCTTGATATTGAATAACTCTTAGCTAAGAATAAAATAAAATAATAATTATGTTTATATGCTTTTATTAGTCTGTTTTTGTTTTGCCTAAATATGTGTCTAAAGCCAAAATATCATTTGTATTTTTCTAAGAACCTTTTTGGTTTTTTTGGAGGTGGTGTTGTGCATGTGTGTAAATATATGTCTATAAACATCACAGTGCATGTGTATGTAGTTAGAGAACAACTTTCAGGAGTAGATTCCTCCTTTCTACCAGGTCAGTCACAAGAAGTGAACACAAATTTTCAGACTTGGTGACAAGCACTTTTTCCCCTCTGAGCCTTCTCACTGGCGCCTAACAATTATGGGGATTTTGGTTTGTTGAGGTTTTTTATTTTATTTTTTGGGACATGGTCTCACTATATACTTAGGTAGCTTGGAGCTCACTATGTAGAGTAGCCTGACCTCAAACTCACAAAGATCTATTCTGTCTTCTAAGTGCTAAGATTAAAAGTGTATGCAACCATGGGCTGGAGAGATGGCTCAGAGGTTAAGAACGCTGACTGTTCTTGGAGAGATGGCTCAGAGGTTAAAAACGCTGACTGTTCTTCCAGGGGTCCTGAGTTCAATTCCCAGCAACCACATGATGGCTCACAACCACCTGTAATGAGATCTGGCTCCCCCTTCTGGCCTGCAGGCATACATGCAGGTGGAGCACTGTATACATAATAGATATCTAGATAGATAGATAGATAGATATAGATAAATGTAGAAGCTTATTTCCATTTTAAAAAAAAACCTGC